CGCGCGGCCGGGCTGCGGGGAGGGCGAGGTGGAAATTGCATGCGTGCCTCGGTCGGGTTTAGGAAGCCAAAAAGAGGGGGGAGGAGAGTTAAAAACAAACAAACAAAAAAAAAAACCACAAAAAACCCCAAAAGTCGGGAAGTAAGTTGCACGCCGGGGCTGAGGGGTGAGGGCCCGCTTGCTGCAGGCGGATTCCTGGCGGAAGGGCCCTCATGCTCGCACCCGGCACCCGGCTCCGCATCCCGAGCGGCGTTTCAGCGTTAGGATGCTCCTAAAAGAGCCCGAGTCCTCCCACTCGGGAACCATGCCTCCCTGGCGCGGCAGTCAAGGCTGGGCTCGTTTGGAAGGAGAGGTGCTTTCTCTGAAGAAAACTAAGTTTGGCTCCTCGTGCCCCCTCCCCCTTTTTTTTGGTGAAGGGGTTCTTTTCTTTCTTTAACATCGAGGTTGGGAAATAGTGCCTTGCAACAGGCAGAGCTGCTCCTTTTAAAAAAAATCTGGGGGAGCTGCTCGTCGCTCCGATGGGTGCCTGGTGTTGGCAGGTCCGCCGGGGCTGCGCATCGCTGAGGGAAGAAGGTTAAATGCTGGTGATTTAGCGGGAGCGTTCCTAGAAAGAGGGTACGAGAAAACGGAGAGTCCGGAGCTAGCTCCTGCGCTGCAGTCTCTCTAACTCAGGAGAATGCTAAATCCAGGAAAAAAGGCCAAAAAGATGAGGGGGGGGGGGGTGTACAAGGCGCACTTTTTTTTGTGCTTCCCTAGCTCAGGAAGGTGGTTATTCAGAACAAAGCATTTGCACAGCAGTATTTTTAAGAGGACGCTGTTTTCCCCTGCACTGCAAGTAAATGTTTGGTCCAGTGAAACTTTCCCATAGCTGTTGCATGTCTTGTAAACGAGACGTTCATAGAGCGTGTTTTGTTGTGTTTTAAGAGGCAGGGAAGGCTGGAAAAAGTTCTGTTACCATGTACATTTGGAAACTTCAGAGACAGGAAAACTTGGGATTCGGATCAAGAAAGCACAGTCCCTCTGTGCAAACATTTCATTAAACTGTTTGCTAACCAACAGCAAGTATGTTAACATTTATTTAATAGAAAAGTGTGTCAAAAGGCTTTCCACTGTTTGCATTTTTAAAAAGCCTGGCGTTTTTCTGCTGGGTTGCAGGGACTCTTTGGCTGGCCTCTCCTTAGCTGTGCAAGAGGAAGTGGCACCAGGGCTCCAGCTAACTGGCTGCTCCGGCAGTAGGAGATGCCTTATTATAATTATTTATGTGCTGCTCCCAAGCTGTGACGATCTGAATGAGCGAGGTTTCAAAGGTACTCATTGAAATTTTAAATCTCGTCGGAACACGGAGCAACTTCCGTCATCCCATGAACTTGGCTTTGCATATTCATCCTCCAGATGAATTGAAAAGCGAGGGGAAGTCTCCCTCCAGATATCCGAGACTTGGCACTATTTAATGAAGCAGTATTGTCTCGTGACGATGACTGTTAGGCAAGGAGAAGAGGGAAGGTAGAGCTGTACTTTAGATCCCTGCTGAAAATCTTTCCATTTTCAGCCTAAATAGTCAAGATGCCGAGTTCCTGTTTGTGCATTCTTGGCTCAGGGAGCACGCCTATTTTGAAATCAGTTGGAGCTTTGATTGCTTAAAAAGTGGAAAGCGGGTCCCTTCCAGTTCACGTTCAAGGACTGAATGCTGAAAACTCCGTGTTCGAGAAGGAAGAAATATGCTGAACCCATGTAACGATTTGTGCCCGCCTCTTTAGGGGGACTACTAGAGTTTCAGCTCTAAATCCAACACTCAGGAACTGAGATTCGCACATCACACACCCTTTCTGGGCAGGGTCAGACCTTCTCCCTGATACATAGCTAGGTCCTGCATCATATGCTGCACTTTCTGACATTATTAATTTATAGAAACTGCTAGGAAATGGTGTGGGCAGTGTGTATTACAGTAGCTTCTTAATACCAAATATAGTAGGCCAAAGACTTATTTTACAGTTCAGTTTTTTTAGGCGCTAAAATGAGATGATGCAGTGTGCATATGCAACTGTTCTAGTCTGTTTTTAAAAGAGGGCAAGTAACTTTTTCACAGAGCGCTTTTATTTCCATTAGGACTGAATTTAAAGGTAACATGGCACCAAGTTTGATAGAACAGAGTTGACAGAATGCGCTTTACAGATTAAAATGTTACATTATAGCTGTTCAGAATTCAAATGTAAGAAATGCTGTCTAGGCATGAAGGTCCATATAAACTGTGAAATGACCAGCCTGATGATTATTTAATGCACATTAGGAATACTTTCTAGCTCTCTGCGGTAGACCTGGTAAACTACTGAACGGGACTGACTGCAGAAAACCTATGAGGCATAGTATTTATATATAGGAGATTTAGGTTTCTAACGTTCTATTGTGTCACCTCGTGCACATTTCATTGAGAATGTGGAAAAAAATACCACTGTTCAAAAACAGGACATTAAACCACTGAAAATATGTTCAAATACCACTGAGAGTCTGAGTTAAACCCACAAAAGCCAGGAAATTTAGACTTAAGACTTAAACTTCCTTAATCCATTTGCGCTGGGAGTTGGATTTTCCTGGTCAATTATGTCCATTGCCAGCAGTGGCTACACTAAAACCACTGGCACCGAGATGTTAACTCTGATCCCTCCTCCTCCTCCTCCTCCTCTCGCGTTCCTCCCCTGTGCGTGTGTATTGCCGGGGCCACTGGGCTGCGTGTTGAAATACTTAAGACTCCATGGGCTACAGGAACATGGCCTTTCAGGTTGAACATTGAGTTTCTTGGCTTTTGTGGTTTTTTTCAGTGAGCCCTCGAGTATAATTTTAATGCAGATTTCCAGGATGTTCCTTGCACATCAGTTATCCTTGTACACTCCCAAAATGATTTCCTTTTTTTCTAAAAAAAAAAAAAAAAAAAAAGGGGGGACAGCCGCCAAGGCACTGAAATGCAGCAGCAACTAGTGTGACTTAGCGGGTAGGAAGATACAAACTTGAAAAATTCCACAGAGGAAATACAGCCAGTTACAGTTACTCTGCAAGAGCCTCCTAAGAGAGAAACGCAGTGTAGACAAATACCTCAGAAGGTACGGGAACACTGTGCTCATGCAGTATTTAAGAAAAAAGTATTTCTCCTGTATTTTCACGGATGGTAGTTTAAAGAGAAAATATTTTTAAAGCTCGTAATGAAAGCAGATGTTTGTCCTTTGACACCATTACAGAATGAATGGCAGTTTTTTGTCTATTTTGTACACCTAGAAATGTTTCTGATTTTAAACAGTTTAAGAGTGCAAAGGCGCTATTTTTTTCCTCTGCCATTCAGTTTGGGGAGCAGAATTAAGATAGAAAAGCAGTGTTGGAAATTGTTAATTAGAACCACCAAACCCAACCCGGTAGAACTTCTTGTATTAACGCCTTTTCTCTTAATTACTTTCCTGGGAAAGACACAGAGTCACACTAAAACCAATGAGTTACACAAGTTAATTGCATTTCATTAAACTTCATTAAATCTGCTCTAGGTCAGGGATACATTACTGGAATGCTTTTGCGCCTGTCTGGCGTTGGTGAAGTCGCGGACGGAGTTCTGAGGCAGGTCCAAGCTCGGGGCACGGTCAGGCCGTGGTACAAACCTGCCCCCTTCTGGTGGGAAGCGAAAAAAACTGCAGCGTGAAGCAAGCAAGAAATTTGAGCGACTCCAAAACGATTTGGAATCCGATTAACGTAAAGAGCTTTCAAAAGAGTAATTGGAAAGGCAGGCTGGGGATTCAGCAGCACTTTGAAAGATTCACTAGAATCTAGTAAAGAGTTTCTTCAGTTATAAAAGTCATCACTGTTCTTTCTGCTTCGCACTAAAGATGCTTTTGCACGCACGATGCTAAATTGTTCATGGTTTTATATATTCCTATTTGGTAAAGAAAAATTAAGAAGATAGACTAATTTAGTGGTCTAGACTTAACTGACAGTTGATTAACGTTTTTTTCGTCACTGATTTTTTTTCTACTTGAAGGAAATTCCAGTGATTCAGAAGAAGACCGGAGTACCAGTAGCATAGAAAATCAGGCCATCCCAAACTCTCACAGGGTGTCAGATCCCAAATCGCATTCACAGCACATCAAAATAGATATCATCAGGAAAGAGCAAGCCAAAAATACACAACGCTACAAAGTGGAATATGATTCACAAAGTACAGATACACTGAATTTCTCTTCTGAATCCAAACAAGAGACTGAATACGTAAGTATTTTTGTAAATGAAAATGTATTTTCCTGCATGTGAGTGTTCACACGTACGTGTGTGTGTGTGTGTGTGTACGTGCGTGCGTGCCTATGCATGTGGCGCATATGACAAGATAAATACAAAAAACAGATGGTGATGATTGTTGCAGCCATTTGGGAAATTCTGGATGGTACTGGTTTGACCAGTAAAACTATTAGACTTGCAAATGCGGATGATCAGCAGACCAAATAGATCGTGTTCAGAAAACACAGAGGCCTAATGTATTGATGTTTACACTGATTTTAATATGATTTTCACTAGTAGATTCTTAGAGAGCAGTTCTCCTTTCCACCTATAATTAGCATGCATTTGTAAGTGTGGGCTCAGAACTGGCTTAACAATATCATCATTAAGTTTGGTTGCAAGCAGCATTATTTACTTGCCACAATGCAAAAAAGGGGAAGACTTTACTTTCAGTGCAGCCGCCCTGCATTCACACTCCCTGGAGCAAATCAGGGAAGAGAAACTTAGCCTGGGCTGAAGGGCCTGGGCTGATTAGTCATTATTTGTACGACATGCAGAACGCCACCTCCATTGCGTGGTCCTGTTGCATAAACAGGGATGTCTCACCAGCACACAGCGTGCAGCAGAGAGACAGGCTACGCGGGTCAACCTGAATATGGTGCATTTGAGGAGAGAATACTTGCTGTCTGGGAACTTCTTGGCCGATGACCTGGTTATTCTCGTGCCTGTGCCAGATGGCTTTAAAAATAATTGCTGGATACACTTTGGCATTTCATCAGAAGAGGCATAGTGGAACCAGATATAGTTTCCCATCTGCAAAGGAAGGTTTCAAAACCTGCATGCGGCAGAAAGTTCTGTCTGAAGGGCATTTGGCCTCTTACATCAAAACAGCGAAGCTGATTATACTGCATTGTTAGTTTGCAACAAGGTCCAGTATTCTAGTAAAAATACTTCCGTATCTGAGTTTTAGCATATCCTCCTTCCAGAAACAGAAAAATAAACTGTTTATAGTAAAAGAATCAACTTAGCAGCTCTAAGGAAATAGGGTCCCGGCCTTAACTAGGAAAAGCATTTCCCCTTAAGTGGTAGCCTGAACTCATGTGCAAAGGCCCACTGAGTTAACAAAACTGCTCATGGCTGTAAAGACCAGAAATAAGTCCATCTGGGACAGATGCCTTTGTAAGCAAATGCCTTTTTAGCTATGTCTGTATGTTTGCTTTTGATATTGATCCCTCTGACTCTTGAAGTCTACTTGGGAAGAAAAAAAAAAAAAAGCTGTTGCTCTTTTTGTAGGCCTAACTCGGGACCAAACCTTTGGAAGTGTGTGATCTGCAGTCAGTGTGTCTGAACAGTTTTGTTTATTTAAGGAGCTGCCAATAAGAGCAGCAGTTTAAAGAACACGTTCAGAGCTTGTGAGATTGATACTGAAAGAAAATGTATGAAAGCTGCAAGGAAGGTATTTGCTGACTACAAAATCAATTTTAAACTTCAGTAGGACGGTTGGGTCTGTATGCTTTCAGACACTCAGATGAAAGGCACTTTATATGAGCAAACTGTTAATATTACTACTTGAAAGTATAAATATCATTACTTCACTAATTAAGAATTGCACTAATGAGTCTTTGTGTTGATACAGCAACTTAAACATTTTAAACCCATGTAACCATGCAAAGGAATTTCTTCAGGTCTGCATTTAAGGAGTGGGTTGGTGTTTTGAGTCAATAATATGCTCAAACAGGAGCGCAGCTAAGCCCAGAATTTGCAGGCTGTAATTCTTGAACTCTAATCCCCTTGCTGACACTGACTGCCTTCTTGGCCTCTGGCAAATCTTGAGCTCCTCTGCTCCTGCTTTTCTGCCTGTAAAATGGGGCTGGTAATGCTTTACTCCCTACCTCAAAGGGCTGCAGTGAGAAATAATTAGTTGGCATTTGAGACACGCTCTTAAAAGTGCTTCTGTAAGTTTGTTTTATCTCAGTGTCCTAAAGCTAATCCTCATTGCATTATTGTCCTCCTTTCATAGATGGAGAAAGCGATGCAAAAAGTGACTGACTTACCTAATGAAAATGTCGCATGCAGCCATTCATTTGTATGGCTGCATCTGTTTGGTCCAGCTGAAATTTAGAACTGTTGTCCAAAGTTACATTATTTAGACATTTACTCAGCTACAGAGATAGAGAAGGAGAAAGATCTTGTGCGGTATTTTATATATACATATACAGTGTGCAAAACTACTTGTTTTCAATTAAATTCATTTCATTTAAGCTTTTGGATCCAGCAGTATCGCAAAGATAAATGGCATTAGGGAAGAATTACTGAGTGGTTTATTGCCAGTCCCCTGCCTTCTTTCCCAACTTTTCCTGTTTCCCTGACATAAGTTATGTATGTGTGATTGACTCAAGCACTGCTTAGGCTTTCCCTTAGGTGTAAGTGGCTGTGATTACAACTCGAAATGCCAGTTTGAGCATAGCATAGGGCATTCAGTGTTTAGAAATCAGTTTATCCTTAAAAAAGCATAATTTCAAAGTTTTACCTCTGAATGGTCTGCTGTTGACATTTCTAGCCATCCTTTTGTTTTAATAGCATATTTGGGTTTCATGCTTCTTCCTGTTTAAAGATTTACTAAACTCTTGTGTGAAAAACAGCATTTGAGAATGAAATTTCATTTGTGCTATCTAAACCATCCTCATTAACAGGGTCCCTGTCGCAGAGAAATGGAAGACACATTAAACCACCTAAAGATCCTGAATGTCTTGAGTCCCAGGGGTTTCCATATTCCAAATTGTGACAAGAAGGGGTTCTACAAGAAAAAGCAAGTAAGTACAGTGTCTTGATCATTTCAGTGAATACGTTTTACTTTTTATGCATCTTTGCTGAAGGCGTTACGTAGCGTTTTACCGAGGTACTCGTTTAATCCCACTTTTAGGCCCTGATCTTATGGCAATGAACCTTGTCAAGTGGGAACGGTGTTTTTATTTGCTGTTGGTCATGACAACAGATTAATTTGTGAAACTTCATACCTAATCACACATGGGTTGGCTGGTGTCCTAGATACTAATGCCCTTCAATTTAAAAAAAGCAATGCCTCTGTAATAACCCACAGAGCTAAATGTTGCAGTCACCATATGACTGCAATAGATCAATGCTTTGAATTGTAAATAGCTGCCTGAGAGTTCCTAGAAGAACTGGGTTAGATCATATTACAAAAAGCAACTTGAGAAAGGCATATATCTGTCCTTTATATGCTGCACAGATCACTTCCAAAATCCAGGTCGTGTTATCATGAAAGCGATACATTTGGTAGTTACTCTGCAGCAAGGGTGGCTTCTCAACCCGCTTGGGTTTTCCATTTGCATTTGGCTCTGGGGTTGTGACCTTTGTTGAAAAATGCAGACCTAAATGGCAGGTATTCCTGCTTTTCAGTTGTGTCCAGACTGAACTACTGCATTGTTCTCCAGTCAGTGCTGCCCTTGAAGCTCATTCGGGAACTTGGAGGAGTGCAAATTATATCAGGTCCTTTGCTTAGTGTACACGTGTCGTATAAGCCCAGTATTTCATTACTGTCCCATCCCTAAACCTATTTCCTGGTGTAATTCAAAAAATTCCTGAATTCCAAAGATTCTTTAAGATTTTCCCCAAGGCAAACCTCTGTAAGGAAAGATTTTGTTTGTGGACCATCTTTTGTCTGCCATTTGGGTTTACACAAGTCAGCCGCCTCCTCTGTATCTCTGGTAACCGCAGGAGTGACTTATTCAACATGTTATTAGCTAATGCCGTTCGTTAATTGGAGGTGAGAGGCCAACCTCAGACCAGACAACCTCATTTTAAGAAAGGTGTCCCTGTGTTGTTTGGTTTCCAGCTTTCTTAAAAATAGTCTTGCCCCTCAGGTTTTCCCTTGAGCTCTGCGAGAAGCAAGCAGTGTCAGGTGGGGTGTTGGCAATAAGGGCCGAGGGTCCCGATATTCCCTTTTTCCGTCAGTCCCACAGAGACTGTGCTGTTCGACCTTGGCTACATGCTGCCGAGCTCGTCTGTCCACCCAAGCTTTTCCTGAGCAGGTGGTGATACTCTCGAGCAGGGGGAGTTTCTTTTCCTCGCCTGGAGTTTTGAGACCCTCGTGTCAATTCCCGTGCCATTGTATGTAGACGAGCTGCCAGTGATACTCATATCTCAGCCTGCGTTTTTTCAGAAAATACTGTGGGCTTCTGTGTGAGCTGCGCTGTGGAGCGAGGTTGGCTCTGTGCTTTGTGGCTGTGCCAAAAACCATTTACTTAGCTACTTTAGAATAGTATATAATTGAATCACGTTCAAGACACGCAAGCGTATCATAGTCCTTATCCTTTGGTAGGTATTACAGAAGACCACAAATTGATATTTACTTTGTTCCATTGATCTTTCTCTCATCTGTCGTTAGACTCTCAGGGCTTTGCTTCATCAGCAGTAAGACGGTGGTTTGCACACTCTCTGGTGTGTAGGTAATAAATTAGATCCACAGCAAACACAGGTGAAGGTGCATTACTGTGCAGTGGCAGTTCTGCCGCTGAGGTGCTCGTGCACTCTTCCATTCCAAAAAAGAAGAAAAGAAAGGAAACAAGGATAGTACACTTTCATGCCATTCCTAGTCTTCATTCGTAGAAGTTCCTTTACCAGAATAAGCTGATGGCGTGAAACAAAGACATGCTTCTGCACTCTGGTTAGTATTCAGTCTATTTGGAGACTTTGCAAGTGCTTTAGAAAAGGTTCTTACACTAAATGTAACGGTCTGTTTGGGCAGCACACGTAGAAGATGCAGGGGCAGTTTCATACGTGGCCAGCTTTGCAAGCGCTGTGCCAAGTTAACGCAAGTCCCTGTAGTATCAGTGGTAGTTCAAGACAGCTCAGGCTCTTGTAAGAGATGCTCACAAGTGGAGCCCATGTATTCTACATTAAATGCAGTGTGGGTGCTCCCCTTCTAAAAGAATCAACTTGAAAGAACTTGAATCAGCCCTTGATACAGGCCTTCACAGGTAAGGCTTAGGGAACACAGGATGAAATGAAAAATAATGTATTTACATTGCCCTTCTAAAATTAACTGCCAGAAAAATAAAGCAGCAGTTTGAGAAATAAGTGACTCCTGGCCAGATTGGATCCACTGTGTGCAAAACAGTGCAGTGATTATATGTATTTGTTTTTTTTTCTGGAGCATCAAAATGTAGGTCTGATATTTTGGGAACCGTAAGCAGGTGTCTAATCTGATTAACACAATGCGAGGCTGTTTTATTGATATCCTTCATTGCTATTATTAGCAGCATTGGGTCTGCCGTTCCATGATATTCCATTGTGACAACAAAATTCAGAATAATCTGTTAGGAAATAGACAGTAAAGCCATCAAAGAAACGAGCGTGAAGTAAGCATTTCTCATTCTCCCTTCCGGTATCTCTAAAATTCTGTGGCTGGATGTGCAGTTCAGTGCACTGTGGTCCTGTGTGGTCCTCAGAGAGTGCTGCTGTGAATTGGTCTGAGAAAATAGTTAATTCCTTCCCAAAATAGTTTCACTATCATACAGCAATAGTCACATTACTGTACTGTTGAACGTTTGGATCAGGTATTAGGAGTCAGAACCGCTGTATTTTCTCCTTGGTTCATCTTTAGACTTACTTCGTGACCCAGCAGACTGTTTCACAAAGGCAGATACATCTGTTTCTACTCCTTGTGCAGTCAGCTCCAGGGACTACACTGGGGTGAATTATGTGGCGATTTACAAGATAATGGGTCTTCGTGTCTTGATTTAATGTCGTATCTCAAAGGGATTGTGATAGACAAGTTCACGTTAATGTATGCTCTTAAATACTTTGAATTACTTTTCTGAGTGCCAGTGATATGTTTTGTGGATGCGTGCACACATGTAGTCCAATACAGAGATATCTCAGTATAGAACCAGGCAACGAATTGCAAGCCAAAAGCAAAAGAGAGGTACTTTAAAAGGACTAGAATGATGATGTAGGTAGATGTGTGATGGGAGGAATCTGATAAATTATGACCCCCCTGGAAAGCAGTAAAACTTCCTCATGGGGCACTTTGCATGTTAGTATAATCTGCCTTCCTGGTCACCTGGTCTTCTAATCAAGTTGAAAGCAATTGATTTTCATGACATTTGTGGTTGTCTAGAAATTGACTTTTCAGGAACTAGCACAGGGAGTAATTTTCCTGTGTGAAACAGATTTTAAGAACGTAAATTTAACTGTCAAGGTGCAGCAGGAAAAATATTTCAGACATTGTGTTCATATATAAATCTCTTTTTAAAAATCAGACCTGTTAAAATTTAGATTTATCTTAACACATCAAATATGTAAGGCTGTACTATACAACTGTGGTATATAGGTATATTTACATGAAATGTGTTTATACAGGCACATTTCTGCCTCAAGCAGGCAAAAGAAAAGTTTTAATGAAATTAGAGTTATCTTTGAATTGCCCCATATTCGTCTACTGGAGCCAGATATTCACCTAAATGTGAGTTGGCATTGTTCCACTGAAAACAAAGTTGGGCTTGACAGGAGCCAAAATGGCCCGAGGTGTATGTCAAGGCTGTCTGCAGTCTGTTCCAAGATATCACAATTGTAGCTCCATGGAGACCTCTGCACTGACCAGGAATTAAATGGGATACCATATGCTTTGCTGTGCCCCAAGAATGCCTCTGCGGCACTTCTTTGCGGAAGGCAGAGAGGCAGGTGGCATAAAGCTGGCAGCTGGTGTTTCTATCAGAAGTAATTATTGGCTCCACTGCTTGGGCAGTTTTCCAGCTCTTTTGGGCTTCTGAAGTCATATAGAAGAGCTGAGCAGAGCCTTGAAGTTTCTGTGGAGTACCAAATTTAGAAGAGTGGGGGTTTTTTGTTTTATTTTTATTTTTATGAGAATTATCCGTCATTTCAGTAGAGAATGCAAGCTAGCCCTTTCAGGATAAAAGCATCCCTTTTGAACCAGAAGTGCTCTGCTATCAACAGCGTGACTGAGCAGGTAGTACAATATCACAGACTGGAAAAGGTAAATCATTTCTCTGTTTCCTCACAGACAGAATGTCATTTCAGCAGCAAAGCTCTAATCCACATGATCTAAGGGTTTCATTTTTTCAAATGGTTTGTCTAGAAGAAATAAAAAATTCTTAATAGGATGGAGTGTGTTGCTGCAGACTGACTTCACAGTATGTTTAATTCCAAACATTGATTATGTGGCTGTAAAAAGCAATTGGAACCCCCAACAGCGTGAGATAACTTTAATTGATCATTTGTTTTGACAGTGATGCAAGCCTATGAATCAGCGAGAGTTGTGTAACACACTTCATATAGTGCTTCTAAAAGAGGAGGATGTGTTACTATTATTAGTAGAAGTGTAGTTTCATCGCCCGAGCACCAGGCTGGCAGCCAGAAACCCTGCCTTCTAATTCTGGCTCTGTCTGTGCCTGTGGTCTTGGGAAAAACAACCTAAGAATTTCTGCCTCAGTTTCCTTATCTGTAAAATTTAAATCATGCAAAGGTTGTCGTTTATGACTTACTTCATTCTGTACATGAAGAATTCAAGGTGCTAAATGTTAACACCACTTCAGCTGGAATCCAATCCAGTCACCACTCAAGTTAAAAGAAAAACTTCCCATCGACTGCAGTGAGTTTTGGGCAGCCATTCACTAAAATCCTAGAGAACATTTGCAAGCATACATTGATTTCATATTTAAAGGTTTGGTATGGAAAACAAACTGAACAGATAGCTAGAACTGAAGTACAACTAATCATGTAGTTTAGTGAATTATTAATGTAGCTCTTCTTTCAATAGGCTTATACTTCTTTGCCCTTTCCTAACATAAGCCAATATTTACTTTAAGCCTGATCTCATAATCTTACTGTCAGAATTGCCATTCATTTGCGTAGGACTAATGAAGAAGGACAGCAAACACAAAGAAGAGAAGGCATTGTATTATTTCTGCACTAGACTTCCTACTCAGAAATGTAGCACAAAGGTAGATTTATTTTCAGTTATGGTGTTTAATGTTATTTCGTGTACTCCAAAACAGAATAAGCAAGATGGAAGCAAACATTCTAGAGGCAGAAGAATCTGCCCAGCAAAATGATCTATGCAAACACTGAAAAAGGGCTGTGGAAACTTAGGGTCCCATCATGGTGGCAGGTTCAGGACTTTTTTTCTAATGTGTAATTTATTCCTATCTCACTTTCTCAAGTTCCTAGTGATGACTGTCTTTGCTAATCTCTGCTGCCACAAATTAATAAGCTCAGGGGCCACTCTGCTGGTCTGGACAGTCCCAGGAGTTGCCCATAATCACATTTCTGTCCTATGTATTACCTCTACTCCTGAGGTCCTGAACTGGACATGGAAAGGGTCAGATTCTTCTGGCAGTGTGTGAAGCCCAACACTTACCTGATGTTTCCCAGTGCACCTGCACCTGGAAAAGATACTCTAGCTTTGTGAGCATGGCTACATCATGTGAGACAGCAGGAAGGACACTTGTATGAGGGTCTGGAGAACAGTGCAATTGAGTGGTAATGGCAAAGCTTATCTAGCCCATGGCACACCCACGGCTGGTACCCAGCCTACACCTCTGAAATGCTTGAATTGCTTGGAGGGTGATCTCAGAGGTGACGTATAGTTGAGAATTACAAGGTATGTGTATAGGCTTCTACTGTATTTTAAAAAGGCAGTTTCATGCTCCAAGTAAAAGTCTCAAGGCAGAAGAATTATATAAATAGCCGTTTAATCTGGTCTTGTTTGTGTGATAGCTTTTAGAGCGTTGAAGGGCGTAAGTGGCTTCAGTCTGTCTAGCCTGTTCTTCCTGCAGGTTGGCAGTACAATGGATCCAGCTATAACCTTGGAAAGCTTGGTAGGCTTGTGTCACCTTCTGCTTCATATGGCTGACCTGACTAAAATGGTCTTCTCTGTTAGCATTTGCAGTGAATCCTCTGTTATCAAATCTCAAATCTTTAGTTGACATAGGTGGAGGCTCTGTCTCTGCCAGGAGGTTAACCATGGAAAACTTAGTAAGATGTCTATGTCCATGGAGAGGGGTAGGTTCACCCTTCGCGCAGGTGGCAACCCTGCAGAGTCCGAGAGGTTCCTGTAGGCTGAACTGGGCCCGGAGTTACATGAAGAGCATAACCTGCAGGGTTTTCTTCTTTAGTCTATTTTTTATCACTTTTGCTTTCTTGGGAACATTGTTAGTTAGTACATGGTAAACTTGTTTATCCATTTATTTACTGCATTATTATTTCTAAAGTTGTTGTCTGTTTATTTTCTTGTGTAGTGGTAGTCTCAGGTTGGTTAGTATTGTTTGCAAATTCCACTAGGCAACTGACTTCTAAAGTTGCCTTAGGTTATAGACCTAATATATAAGCAACCTTATTTATAGGAAAATATACGTGTAAAGTTCTAATATATACCTAGCAGTTGTTGAAGTGATAACTCCATTACAGAAGGATTATGTATCTGTTAATAAACGTCAACTACAGTACTGAAATTCCTCCAGCAAGCAGATGCAAGCTAAGGGTGTTTATTGCTGCGAGAGCTGTCGTCTTTGCCAGACCTATGCTTTAGTGTAGAACAAATCTGTGGGCTTTCTGGTCCAAAGAAAGGGTCCCAGTCACCAGCCCTTACTGTTGTAAACAGTCCTTGTTCAGCAGACAAGTGTGCTGCCTAATCTGATAGGGAGTAGTTCAAAAGACTGGTTTTTTGGTAGTTCTTAGAGTATTTTTATTCTGAGATAGTTAGGCCCAAAATAGTTTACTGATGGAGAAGGTAGTTTCTTATTGTAATGCGTTGTAGTGGAAATAACGTTTCTATCGAATTCTAGCAATGTTGGCTATGGCCAAGATACAGTAACGCAGCTACAAAATGAGCAGGAACCCCTGCAATGTAAAACAAAGTGAGAAAATAAAAACGGTGCTAACGGAGTCTTACCTTCTGTTTCAGTGCCGCCCATCCAAAGGCCGAAAAAGAGGTTATTGCTGGTGCGTGGATAAATACGGACAGCCGCTTCCTGGATATGATGGGAAGGGAAAAGGAGACGTCCACTGCTATAACTTGGAAAGCAAATGAGGGGGTAGAGACCATCTCTTCTGGCATCCGTGTGTGGCATTTCGACGTATTGGAGACCTCAGAGGGGCTGGGCAAAAACCGTGGACTGCGTTGCACGTGGAGCTGTGCGTTCTGCCTCCTGCCTTGCCGGGGCATTCACGGACTCTCGGGACTCTGCAGCTGCACCCCGCCACCGACACGCTTCGGGCTCCCTATAGCACGGATAGGGAGCTCTGACTTCCCAAGTAAATCTGCACTATTGATACCCAGAAAGGAGAGAGAGGAAAAAATAAATAAATTTTTTAAAAAGGCACTTCAGAATGGATTCAGGGAGTCTCCACTGACTTTTTAAAGAACGGCCTGTGACCAATTTGATCCCGAAAGATACTGTGTTTTATGTTAAAGAGTTTATAGATTGTAAGCTTGTTTAAAAAAAAAAAATTAAAACAACAACAGCAACAACAAAAAACACAAGGATTTAAAGTTTAAGCTTTTTTACAGGTCTGACGGGAAACTTATCTTCACGGGTAAAATGTTTTATAAAAATCTCAAAGAACTTTTTAAAGAAACGTATTTCTAAAATAAAGACATGGCTATTTTTTCTGTAAAATATATGATGAATATTCTGTTAGTCTGTATTTAATATAATTGTTTTTTAATAAACTTTATTTAAATGTAACATGTGAATACCAAATATTACACAATAATTTTAGTGTAAACTTATGTATGCAAAGAGAAACCGTGGGGATGGGATGACTTACAAATATGTATAGATTCATATGCATACACACTGACCTATCCTACATGATAGAAATGGATTTGTGGAGTGAAGGAAATGTTTCCAAAAGAGGTTAAATTTCCTCATTTGAAATAGCTACAAATACCAAGCTAATCTTTTTTTAAATGTTGGTTTGTTTGGTTGGTTTTTTTTTGTTTTTTTTTTTACTTTATTAGTATTTCTAACGCACCCATCACTGAATTATGCCACTGGAAAGGTTGACAGTTGCACTGAAGCTCTCTGTAAAGCATCCTTCTGTCTGTTCTTTGCTTCAGTTAGTGCAACAGGGCTTAAATTTCCTCTGTTTCCTTCAGAACTGTCCATGCTAGTATAAAATATTCATGGACAAAAAATTGCCATTGCAGTATGACTCTTTCTGTTTGCTTATTTATTTTTAAAAGCCTGTATCTATTCTCTGTTGTCTTGATATACTCTACCAAAGCACATATTCTGTATGAGGAACTTCTGTGTAAGTCAATGCCAACACGATGGGGGATTATGGACCCAGCTTTGAGACCTGTGCGCTTCATTTTTTTTTTTTTTTTCCTACTGCACGACTGTTGCTTCCTTTGACTTTGGTGGAAGTGATTTGCCTGCATCCGAGCATAGAATAAGAACCATTTGGTTTAAATATTTAAGCCAGTTCTCTGCCATGATGTTATATGTCCTTTTAATCACAAGAGAAGTGTTTTGGTTTTGTGCTGATACGTGATGCTTTCACATAAGGAAGTCTTTGGCACCGATTCGAGGCTGACTGTTTATTGAACTTCATGACAAACTCTGTATGACAATGGAAGTGGGATAAGGAAAGGTGGCCTGTGAAATGTAACAGCTCTCTTGGAAAGTAATGCCATATTTTGTATATGTATTTATTTATATATTTTATATAAAT